GCGAAGTCGAGCACTTTACGGTAGCACAGTTTAACGAGGACCAATACCGCACACCCTCGGTCCCTACGCAGACTGATCCAAGTGGTCACCCACCCGCACACTGACCGTAGCCAGTGATGCTTGACTTCGGTGATCTGCTGGGAACCGTGTCTTAACGATCAGTCCACTGCGGGTCCCTCTGTCGTAGAACTCTGCCGCCTGTGAATGGAACCAGCATGTGACAGAAGTCTGCAGCTCTTCGTCGTTGCGAAAACGCTCAGGACAGGAATTTCTTGAGGTGCAAGAAAACGTGAAAATCGCTGGAAGCAATATAACTAGCTGTATGTAGATGATCAAACAACTCCCAGCCAAATTCCGTCAAAACAGCTACTGTGCGTCGTGCCGTATGTGGACAAGCATTGTCATGGAGCAGCGCAACACTTGCAGTAAGCATTCCACGACCCTTGCTTTGAATGGCATGTCACAATTTCCGAAGTGCTTCACAGTAACGGTAGACGTCTGACACACGCTGGTTCCATTCACAGGCGGCAGAGTTCTACGACAGAGGGATACAAAAGTTGATCCCACGATACGACAAGTGTCTCAATTCTGGTGGTGGCTATGTTGAAAAATGGCTGAAACATTGCTGTACTAGTTGCCAATAAATATGCACCTGAAAGTGTAAGTTCTTTTTTTAAAAAAATTCGGGAAACTTACTTTCTGGATGTGCCTCGTATAAAAATGAAATCTTGAGCTTTAACTTAAAATACCAGCATCAATAACATTTTGATATTAGAATCGTAATTTATGTCTTGAAGCATTATCGTTACTCTAGAAATGTGCAAAAGTTCATATTGTTTCATCTAATACTTTTTAAGTCGTCAATGTTGAGATTTTGAGTAATGACAATGAGAAGCATAATCAGTGAATATTTTCCAAAACAATGGGGAAGGCGCAGTAATTTATTTTTAAATATAAGGGCATAATTAAATAAATAGATACTTCCACAAGTTAAGCATTCAACTTGGTGTCGCTTACGAGTGAATATGCCGAATGGCCAGACAAAATTTGCCGAATTGTGAAAATCTTCACAGATCATAGCAACTCTACTAGCACGTAAAAATCAAATCATTAAATAAAAAAAAATAAAAATAAAAACGTAAAAAGGCATGGTTTTGAATCCTTTCATCGCGAAAAGAAGAACTTTTTCCAAAACTGCAGTCGTCATCAGAATTAAGTGAATAAAAAATGATGTAATATAACGAATCCGAAAAACTTCTTCGTCAAAACCTAAGATAATTCATGTAAGATCCACTTATGTAAGTGGATCTACTTAAGCTTAACATTTAAGGATATAAGTACTTATAAATTAGATATTAGTGGTTATATCTGTCAAAATATTATGGATAATTTGTTAGCTATAAATGTTTTTTTTTATAGTTGTTTTGTTTTTGGTTATTTTGTATACAGGCATCATGGCAATTAGTTTTGAATGATTGAAAAATCATGTAAGTATGGTTTCCATAATAATTATAGTGTAACTATTTTAACTATTTGCCTTCTATGATTTTTCCTTGAGGTTTTCTCTGCCCGGTCGGGACTTGCAATCTTTAAGAGAGGCTATATTACAAAGGTTTCTATCTTATGCAGAAATTAGTTTGAGTTATTACATGAATTTTACCATGTGAACTATAAGCTATCCTACGAAGTTTAGGTAATTATGTACTGTACTGTTTCCATGTAAACTCGTGAGTAGCTTAATCGCGAGACTGAAATGTTCTTTTTGACTGAGTATATGTCATTTAAATCGTAGGATAGCTTGTAGATGTTATCTTAGAGTATCTGTGCTTGAGTAAGTGCACATTATATAGGATGTATCTGTTCTTCATTAGTGTTTTTCATCATCTGTACAAAAATAATTCTATCCAATCATCACTCAATCATCAATCATCATCTTCCAATCATCACGCTAATTAAAATAGACCGTACCAAATGATATTCAATTTTTTCAGGTTCTAAGTAGTGTTGGAAAAAAATGGAGGAAAAGAATAAAGAGAAAATTGAGTCAGAAAATAGTGCCGTACACAAAATTCTTACAAAACATTCTTTCCCACAAATTGACAAAGAAATGATTCGATTCAAAGGTCATTTCTTCTTCTTCTACGGTGGTAAGAAAACTTTTCCATCTAAATATATTATTTACTTGAAATAGTGTGAGATATAAAAAAATTCAAATAGTGATTAAGCGATTATTCGAAAAAATTTCATCTGGTAATCTAACCAGATAAACTGGTTTTTATATGGTTTTAGACTGGCTTCTGGTAATCTAACCAGACAGCTCGTGTCGATATCTTTTAACGTACTTTTCCGAATTGCCAAATTTTGAAATTTTTTTATCCGCTCCGCTTAAATATTATTTTGCGCCCCTTAAGAACCCATGGAGATTTAGACTTAGGGCAAGCTTTCAAAAAGGATGATTAACTCGGCTGTAATGAACCCGCTCTTTAATGTTAAAAGCTGGAAAACAGTCACCAAATGCAGAAACTTCTGGAGAAGGCCAGGACTAACACAGAGCTGTTGAGGTAATAAAGAAGGTCTTTGGATTTTTGACAAGGATTCTGAAAATATAAATGAAGAGCGGTGAAGATTATATAACAATAAGCAAGGGGAACGAAAGATCATAGAACAATAAGCAAACTGTTCCTCTGATTGGGAGTTATTCCATTCCTTTTTCAGGTAGGGAATGAATCGTATTTCCTACAATTATTATTTCTTTTAAATAAAGGAATATTGCCCAGTATTCCCGACTGACGTTTTTTTAAGTAAAGAGCCATTGTCCGGTATTGTTGACATTGTTTAAAAATCATTGCCCAGTAATCGCTTTCCTGGTATTCATCACATCTATAATGCGCGGGTTCAGTTCGAGCGCAAAACCCCGAGATCGACAGGGGCTCGTTTACTAAAAAAAAAAAGTTTCGGGCTCGGATTTCATGATAAAATTTTTATGAAACTTTTTAACTATTTTTAAACAAGCATTTGCCTCAGTGATTGAGTACTCCATAGATGTATAATCTATTTTGCTTCATTTTTGTCAAGGATTCAACAACTAAATATTAATGTCGGTGATTACGGAACACCTTCTGTGTATCAAAACCAGTACATTAATCGAAAAAATAAATACATATGTTATTCATTAATTTATATTACTCTTAGTAAATTCGCTTAGAAAAACGTGCCTTTTTTTAAGCAACTACAGAAGATTTTCCTATTAAATCATAACTATAATGAGCTTAAACAACAGTTTGCAACACAAATAGCTTTATTAAATATTTATCGATTACATTGCAATAGATTTCTTGTAAATGATATTTATATATTACTGCGATCTCATCTTTAGATTTATCGTAGTTTAACTTTATTGCAGTTGCGGGTACTATGACACCTTATCTCCCACTTATAGCAAGAACAAGGCTAAAATTAACTGCAACATCTTTAGCCACAATTTTGACTGCACAGGTTTTTATCACCATTTTATCTAAACCTCTAATAGGATACTTAGCAGATTATTTCAATAGAATGAAGTTGATTTTATCCACATTACTTGTATTACTATCAATACTTTACTTATTACTTTTAATCATCCCTCCCATTGAAAAATACCCAGAGCCATTAAAACTTCGAAATTCTGAAGAATTTTTACAATTTGTAAAAAACTTAAGAAAAATTCAGATAAAAAACCAGACTGAAAATTATTATGTTAGATATAAAGATAAAAATGGTTACGATGTGCTATGTCTTTTATTTTATTACAAGGCAATTGTTTCTGGAGACAATGAAACAAATGTGATCACTTTAGAATCAAAAAATCCTTATCATTGTTTAATTATCGCTTTGCAATTTAAAGAAATAGCAACTGATGAGATAGAAAACGTATCTTGTCATTCATTATTCGACACGATGTATCAAGTATTAAATAAATCTTTAAGTTGTACAACTTTTATCAATTGCTTTTTTCGAAGTGAAATATTAATTGGAACTAAAAATTATAATTTTAGAACTGAGCATACATCTAAAAACCAATATGATGTTTGTCTTTCGATCACCAACGAAGCAGAGCTGTTTTGTTTTTTAAAAAACAATTGCACAAATTACACATTAGGCAGAAAAATTCATGGCTGTTGTAATATGAACATGTCCTTTTTCAGAGAATCGGATCTAAACAAAACTTCAGATATCGAAAGTTCCTTATTCGATGAATTTGACACAGTAACTAACACATCGGATAATGATTCTTATAAATCTTTGTTAGAAAAAATAAATCGAGCATCAAATGAATCTTCCTGTTGTATAATTTTTCTTGTAACAACCAATACACTACAGAATGTTTTACGCCAGCCTTTAATTGAAGAGATAAATCAAATTTCAAACGATACTTCAAACATAAAATATTCCTTATTTAAAGAATTCGAAACATTAGCTAATGCTTTCGACTATGATTCGTATCAATCATTGCTCGAAAAAATGAATCGAGTATCGAATGAATCTTCTTTTAAAATTTTTTGTACGGCAACCAATTCACTAGATAATTTTTCTTGCAAGCCATTACTTCAGGTCATAAATCAAGGATCAAAGGAATCCTTTCGCGGTACAATTTATGATTCTGGGAAGTTAGAAAGTATCAATCAGATTCCAATCACTATTGACTTTGAGACGTACCAGTTCTGGTTTTGTGCATTCTTAATGATTGTTTCTGGCACATGCTTAAGCTCTCTTTATACGCTCTCGGACACTATCTGCTGTGAGAGTGTGCACGCACTAGGGAAAGACTTTGGTAAGCAAAGATTATACTCTGCCATTGGATGGGGCGGCTTGGCGTCAATCGGTGGTTATTTATGTGATGTGACCAATAATTATTTCGCCGTATGGATCCTCATGGTACTCTTACAATGCTTGACTTTATGGAATCTTTTCAAAATGGTTGTGATTAAGCCAGATTTGTCAAAAAACATTTTAAGAGATATTAGACATGTTCTGAAATCACCCGAATTTTTAGTCTTCAATGGCGGAGTTCTGATGAATGGCATGTGGTTGGGAGCAATATGGTTTTTCCTTATTGTATTTTTGGACTCACTCGGAGCAAGCAAATTCCTTTGTGGTTTTATTACGGTTATACAGTGTTGCGTTGGAGAAATACCATTCATGTTTTATTCAGAGTGGATTATTAATAAACTGGGGCATTTCAATCTGATTTCTTTGTCTTTACTTGCATACGGTATTCGATTCATGTGGTACAGTTATCTTCAGGATCCGTGGTTAGTGCTTCCTGTCGAAATTCTGCATGGATTTACTTCTGGAATATTCTATCCTGCAGTTGCCACTTATGGAAAGCTAAGTTCCAGACCTGGAACAGAAGCTACAACACAGTCAATTCTTTTTTCAACTCATGAAGGTTTAGGTAAATACAAAATTTAAATGGTCTTCTTTTTATTTTGACTGTTGCAGTTGATTTCAAGTGTTTTGAAAGAGAAATAATCAATTTTCCGAACACCATTTTTAATTTTGAAAACTGATGATGTCAGTTACTATGGTTAGAATGCTTATAAAATCCTTTTTTTTTTATTTGCTTAATACATTTATAGAAAAAAAATGTGCTTCATCTTTTAAAGTCTGATATGTTAATCTAAATGTTTTAAGGTTTATTGGTGACTAAACCAAAACACCATTGTTTAAATACAAATGTATATCATTTTAAGAATTACAGATGAAGAACTAGAATTTTATACCTAAACTCAGGGGCGCGACAGCCCATAGAGGGCCAAGGCCTACTGTGCCCATCTCAGTTTTCTTGACCTTGGGCTCTGGGGTGCAGGAGCAGATGTCCCGGTTAGGTGGTCAGCCGAACGCGAAACCCCCAGTGTTTAGTTCCCGAAAATGCTTGGTACTCATTTATCGACCCGCTGAAAGGATGAATGGCTGAGTCAACCCTGCCCAGCCCGAGGATCGAACCCAGAACATGTGGCATGGGAGCGCGAATATGGACATACAACATTTTAAACTATAAGTATATGACTATATACTAATAGTTATAACTATTACTAATAAAGTTATAACTAATATAGTTATAACTATTACTAACAGTTATAACTATATATAAACTGTTAGTTGGGATCTTTACAAGAAATAATGAATGAATGATTGACAAAAAAACTCTATAAAATCGGAAAAAAATTCTTATGAGAGAGAAATTTTATTTCAGAGGGGAAAAATGCAATCCAAATAATAATTGAATCGTTAATTTAATTTTTTCAAATCAGTAAGACTAGCAAAATAAGTATATTATTTCCATCATTTATGTTTTTTTCTTTAACTTTGGTGCTATCATTTTTATGAAATAATTGCAGGTGCAGGAATAGGATGCATCTTGACTGGGATTGGCTTTGATAATATAGGAGGACATTGGACATTTTTTTACCTTAGCCTATGTGCTTTTTGTTCAGCTGCCCTTAATATTTTGATTCATCTTACAATCAAAAGGCGCAGCAAAATTTTGCAAATAACAGTTCAATAAATCACTGCGATAGAAGAATTTTTTAAAATCAAATCTTGCAGAGCCATTGCTAGACATTGTGGCGTCAAGGAAATAGCATCTCACTCTCACAAATTTTTGTAAGAAACTTTTTATTTTGATTCATCTTACAATCAAAAGGCGCAGCAAAATTTTGGAAATAACAGTTCAATAAATCACTGCGATAGAAGAATTTTTTAAAATCAAATCTCGCAGAGCCATTGTGCCATCAAGGAAGTAGTATCTCACTCTCACAAATTTTCGTAAGAAACTTTTTATGTCCGTTAATGTTAACTTTGCGAGATGAAAAAATAGGATGTCCCCATAAAAACTGCTAGGCAACGTTTTGAAACTGGAATGCAAAAAACGAACACTTAACTGTTTGACAGCTTTAAAGATGGCAAGACTACACTACTCCACTTTGTTACGGGTATCTTAACATTTAATCTCCATTTATATCAACTTTCAACACACAACTGTTTGACAGCTTTAAAGATGGTAAGACTACACTATTCCACTTTGTTACGGGTATCTTAACATTTAATCTCCATTTATATCAACTTTCAACACACAACTGTTTGACAGCTTTAAAGATGGCAAGACTACACTATTCCACTTTGTTACGGGTATCTTAACATTTAATCTCCATTTATATCAACTTTCAACACACAACTGTTTGACAGCTTTAAAGGTGGCAAGACTACACTACTCCACTTTGTTACGGGTATCTTAACATTTAATCTCCATTTATGTCAATGACATATACAATAAATGGTTTTGTTCAAATCTGTGTTTAAGTTCACGAGGGATAATACATCGCACATCTTAAGAAAATGTAGGAACATTAGCTTGTAAAGCTGCTAAATTATAAAGTCTTAATGATTAAAAAAAAATTTTCTATTGCATGAAAGAAAGCAATGGTTTAGAAAATAAGGAGAAAAAAAAAGTCCTATGTGTTTCGAAAACCACATTTTTGTGAAAATTTAATCAAGACCATGATTGTTGAATTTAAATTAATAAATTATGCAACAGTTCTAAGAAATTTTTTGATAGACATAAATAACCTAACTATTTTGTCACTTCTTGAAGGGAGACCAAGTCTTTAAGCTGATGTCTAACTCTAAACTAAGGGAAGCATGATTACAGCTATATAGTATTTTAACATTCGATAATTGAGGCTATAACATGGTGCGTAGCACAGTAATAAAAACATAAATAACCTAACGATTTTGTCACTTCTTGAAGGGAGACCAAGTCTTTAAGCTGATGTCTAACTCTAAACTAAGGGAAGCATGAATACAGCTATACAGTACTTTAACATTAGATAATTGAGGCTATAACAGAGTGTGTAGCCATATTTTTCAATAAAAAAATAAACACTATAATAAAAATAAGTACTTTTTTAAGCACTTATAAAATATTTTTAATCACTTTCCAAAAAAAAAAATCATAATTAGGATCTGTGCAGTAATAAAAATTACTTTTTTCTATTGTTTAGAGTTCTTAATTCATAAACATAAAATCAATAAAATTCAAAAGCCTTGTATAATCATGATAAAATAACTAGTTTCTGATAAATATTGCAGAGAAAATTGTGAAGATCGTGCGTTTTTTGTAATTCAGAGCGACAATCGACGCGGCAAAGGAAAATCTCTTTTTAAAAGATAGAAAATAAAGCACTTTTTAAGCACTTGAAGGCTTTGCACCCTGCAAAAGAGTTAAAAAAAAAAAAGAGTACTAAAAATAATTTATTGTAATTTTTTTTTTCATACAAAATATACAGAATAGGATGAGTCTCTACATTAGATGTTATGAATCGCAAGAACTTGAGATGGGCGTAATAGAAAGGTTTGATATATCTCTCGGTAGCATCACGTCCTTGATGGTGTCTGTCTTAGACGTGCAAGCAAGAATGGCTTCAATTACACCTCCGGCTTCCATCAATTCATTTAAGTAATCACATTCATTGTTCATTGCGTCCAACATGTACTGGAATTGTAAATTGACTTCTGGGTCACACATCTTTGGACCATAGATGTCTACAATAAAATAAATTGAACGCATTGTAAATAACACTTCTATTAAATGATACAGTGGGACCATGATTATCTGATACTCGATCGAAGCATACTGACGCATATTTGACCTCTATTACAATTGATTTTGCCCAATTACTGTTGTGACAATTAATTTCAAATATGGGTGCCAGAAAATTGCAATTTAATTTATTAATGTTTTTTCTTTCATGATAGTAAATTGTTATTTCTGACAAAAAAATTTTTTCTTAATGCGCTTTATTAATTTAATATTGAATGAACTACTAAACTAAGAAGCTGAAACAATTCTGAATAATTCTAATGCTAATATTGTTGACCGTGTGACTTAAATTTTGTATAATAAATAAATAGTAGAATTCAGACTTTTATAGCTTTTCATTTTTCTGAATACTGTATTATGGCTTCTTGAGCTTTTTCACCAAAAAATTATATATTAACAATTTTAATGAGGTAAAATAAAATCATACTTAAAATTTTCAGTTATAGGTGGCAATTCGTTGCAATAATTTTTCTTGTANTTGAACGCATTGTAAATAACACTTCTATGAAATGATACAGTGGAACCATGATTATCTGATACTCGATCAAAGCATACTGACGCATGTTTGACCACTATTACAATTGATTTTGCCCAATTACTGTTGTGACAATTAATTTCAAATATGGGTGCCAGAAAATTGCAATTTAATTTATTAATGTTTTTTCTTTCATGATAGTAAATTGTTATTTCTGACAAAAATTTTTTTTATTAATGCGCTTTATTAATTGCAAATTGAATGAACTACTAAACTAAGAAGCTGAAACAATTCTGAATAATTCTAATGTTAATATTGTTGACAGTGTGACTTAAATTTTGCATAATAAATAAATAGTAGAATTCAGACTTTTATAGCTTTTCACTTTTCTGAATACTGTATTATGGCTTCTTGAGCTTTTTCACCAAAAAATTATATATTAACAATTTTAATGAGGTAGAATAAAATCTTACTTAAAATTTTCAGTTATAGGTGGCAATTCGTTGCAGTAGTACAACACAAAACAGAAATTTTCATTAGATGAACTTTCATAATTTTGAATAAAATTCAAATTTCTTTATGTTATGAATATAGAAAGAAAAAAAAATCTAGACACAGTATCATAATTAAGGATTCTTATTCAAATTAAGAGGATAGGAGCATGCATTAAGAACTTTTGTCTTTGAAATAGATATTTTTGCAACTGTAGACATTATTTCTTTGCAGGATGTCAAAATTTAGAACATTATAAAAAAGAAAGTCACAAATAATAATAATAATAAAAAAAGCTGAGAAGATACAATGAGTATTTTTTACAAATGTTAAAAAGTTTTATGAAGTAAGAAGTTCTTTTAATGATCAATATGAATCCAAAAAATACATAATGCTACTATTATTTTTTTAATCCATAAAAAAGAAATAATAATTACCCATTAGCATCATTGATACATCAATAAGAAATGTCTGGAATCTTACGTCTCTGAAATACCTAAAAAGGAAAAACATATATATAAGTAAAATGAATTATTCATAAGAATCATAACTAAATACAGGGTTGCCACAGAAAAAAACAAAATAGTTGCTTTTAGTAGCCTAAAGCATGAACATAGTTGCTGATAACTATGAAAATAACTTCCTAAATAAGAACAAAAATTCATCAAAGACATGACTAAAATTTTATTAAACGACTTAATTGAATGAATAAATTTAGTCAAGTTGGTGGCAAATATGATAATTTTTATATAAACGTTAGTGTTCTAACACTAAGTTTTTAGATTAAAAAAAAATTTTTTTTGAATTATTTGCAGAAAAATAAGTACTTTTAATAACTAGAATTCATTTTAAAAAAAATCTTTTTCATTAAAAAAACATACCTTTTTCTAAAAATTTTCCCCCTTTATTAAAAATTGCTTTTTTTTAAAATCATGCAGAATTTTGGAGTAATAACCATTGAAAAGCCGATCGAGAAACAAAATAGACTTACAATGGAATCTGTGCAAATTAAAAAGTAATGACTCAAATTTACCATTCAAATTTTTTTATTTTTTAAGGGAAAAAAAATTTTCAGCGTGGGCAGAAGCTTCTGCAGGTCGCAGGTTTTCAACTCAATTTATGCTAAAAAAAACACTGCTAGAAGAACAGAAAAGTCTCCCAATAGTCTCCTTTTCCTGAAAATAGTTGCTTTTTTTTTTAATATTTTCANGTTATCACAGTTAAGTGAAAGATGCATTTTTAATACCAAGTTTGTTATCTAAGAAATTTCTGCAATCTGAATTTTTGACCCCTCAGGAACACAAATTCAAGTTGCAGTTTGGTAAAAAGTCAAAGGTAAAAATAAACATTTCTTACTTGTTAACAAACTTCATCAATTGTTGAAGAGATTCACCCTCTCTTTCAGCCATTGCTGCTTTTAGAGATCCTCGTATTAACAATTCTTTCATAACACCAACTGTTACTTCTGGGTTTTGCTTCTGTATCCGATCCTAAAAAACGAAAAATGCCTTTTAACAACCTGAAATTTCAAAATTGAAAACAACTTTTAACAAGCTATATTTTTCACTATTAACTAGGAATAGCACAATTTCAACAACGCAAATTGTAACCCTTTCGCGACGAGTTTTTTTTTTTTTTTTTTTACAATAGAACAACTTTGGTAACATAAACTATGAGTAGGGCAGCATTATGTACGGTAGTGCCATCTATGTTCTGTGAAAGAAAATACCTTCAAAAATATTGGCAGGACTGGCGGGAAAGTCTTCCATTAGACAGTGAAGCGTTTCTGTCCCCTAAGATTTTCATGAAATTTGCTTGGGACGTATGTGTCCCGTTAGGTGCAAAAGGGTTAAAAAGAAATACAGGAAGTTATTAAAGACCAATTATTGTAGAAAAGTTTTCATTACAGCAAAGCAACCAGTTTAAAGTTCTGGAAAATTCCAGGACTAAACATTTAGAGGGTTAATGGCAAAATAGCTAGAATTAGCTATATTGCACCAAATATAAACAAGCTAAGTAAGGTAACTGGTATTGGTGTTTAGATAATAAAGGCAATACTATATACATTAACAGTTTTCGAGAACAATTATTTATTTTAAGTTGGTGGCAATTCTCATTAATTGCGAATCAAAGTAAGGTTTAAAATAAAATAATGCTTGAAATTTTTTGTTGTTGACTCTTAAAAATTTCTTTTTAACTTGTCATACTAAAATATATTTTTATTATCGTATTATAATGCCTTTTCACAAATATCATTCAAAATTAAATTTTTGTAAAATTGTACTTCATAAAAAAGAGGAAATAACTAATGGATCTTGTAAACCAATAAAAACAAGAACAAAATACAATAAAAATGCATGGTTCGTGGCATAAGGTCATTTTTTTAATAAAATACACACATACTAGACTATTTTTAAGAAGGGAAAATGAAGAGTTAATATAGCAATGCAGGTCTCGTAGTGGGTCAAATAAAAAATTAGGACACATTTTGGAATAGTATACATATACCAACAAAACTAATTTAAACGAGGACAAAAAACAAGCTAAAAAATAATAATAAATAAATAACAATTTGTTTTACTTCAGTAAAATAAGGGCAAAGTTTATTGCAAAATAATGATTAAATATAATCTTTTTAATTTCAAAATTATTTTCTTTGGAACAAAAATTTTAGCATTTTCCAGCATAATTTTATCAATGGAAACAGTTAATTATCCTCGAGCTAATTATCAAAAGTAACATTTTAATACTCTATTGAACTACCTGTATAATTTTTTACAAGCTTTCGTAATTCCAAGTTTCTAAGTCTTTACGCTGGTCAAGTTTTTGCATAACAAAACAAAATGTAATGTAATTTCTACCACCCAAAAAAAGTGGCGGTGGTGCTTATGATTTTTTAATATAGAAACTATTGCTTTAAAAAAGAGCCAGTATCAATTGGATAATATCTCCTCATAACACTATGTAATTAAAATTAGTAAGTGAGTTCAAGAGAACAGGTTGGCTACTGCCTGGAAAAGTTTAAAATGCGGTGACAAATGAATTGCAAGTTTATTATAAATTTTAAAGGATTTCGTTTCATGCCAATTAAAAATTCAAATGTAACAAGAATATTTAGTATATCAATATTTTAGGCTATAAAAATTTGATAAAGCTTTTTAATTAATCAATTTTTTTCTACTACTAGTTTTTAATTTCTTTAGAACATGGCTACCTTGGATAACCTTAATCAAATAATTTAAAAGTAAGGTTTCAATAATCTATAAAATACAGTGAACATGTGGTTGGCACCTAACTATCACATTCTTTGGAAGATACTGTAAGTGAGTCACAGTGACAAGCAACAATACTCGCGCCGCCACAGATTACTAATCTTAGGGCACAGAAATACAAAAAAAGGCATCCATGCCCTGGTCGCCATTTGAACCCGCGACCATTAGCTTCTCAGTTAGACACCCTGACCACTTGGTCGGCAAACAGAGTGAATATGCCACTAAATATTTTGAAACAAAAACACTTTAGTAGATGATTCTTTAATTTAAAACATCTATAATATAAATACTATTTTTCCGTTGTAATCGATCCTTTTAAAATCATATGAAAGAGACAAATCAATAATTGCAAACTACATAATTCCTCAACACAAGATTCGTTACCACATTTGCTGAAAATAATAAATAAGCATATGACCCCAATAATTCCTCACACTAAAAATTTTATAATGTAAAACTGTTAGTTGAGTTCTTTTTAAAAGCATACTTTTTTTAAAAGCATTCTGAGCATACTCAAAAATCAGGAATATCAGAACAAAAAGCTAAAAATCAATAAAAATAAGGACAAATATTTTCCCCCGGGAATATTAGGACAACTATGAACCCTGTATCATGCTAGGCAGACTAAGTTTTCATCTCCCAAAACTGCATATTTAGTTAAACATTCTGCCAATAGATGGTGCTGTAGAACAAGAATAACTATAATTGATATGAAAATGGTGCAGGGACTATAGCAAAAACATCCATATCCACAATCCTAACAACTAAATCATCATCAAAATTTTTCCAAAGTGCTCAATAGCTGATTTCATGGTTAAATACAGACTGGGGATATCAGATTTAATTTTTCTACAGCACCAAAATTGGCAAAAAGATAACTAACTGCGCAATTTTATGGGTTGAAATTACCTAGCAAAACACTGCATATTTCAGGTTCTGTTCTTTTTTTTATTATTTTCAAAATAGATCAGTCATTTTAGTAGTATTAGTTTAGTAGTTACACCCAGTATAAATTATCCATGAACTTTTATTAAGTTACTATAATAGAACACTAGGGCCAAGTTTTCAGCAGCAAAGTTATTTCAGTCCTTGGAAATTTAAACACCTGTAGCTTTCTTTGAAATAAGTTTTTAGTTACATTATTCATTTTTGTAAGTATAAAATTAATAATTCTAAAAGTAGGAAAAATATTTTTAGACAAGCATTTTTAAAATACATAACATAAAGTATGATATGGTGTTGGACTGATTTAAACTACTAAATCATGTATCAGAAAGTTTCAATAAACAAATATAACAGTTTCACAACTCTACATACAGCATAAAACATAAGAAATTACTAGTAACAATTAGTTCCGTGAAGTCAAGATTATTAGCGTCGTGAGGAGGGAATTTTTTTTAAAATTGGAACAAGATATGCTTCTATTATCTATAAACAATCTAAAGAGAACAGTACAATCTGAAATGAATAAACCACTCGATTCAAAATAAAAAAATAAAAAATAAATATTTAGCCTCTAAATCAAAAGCCAAAGATGTGTCTAGAATTAATAATAAAAAAGAATTTAAAGAATGACAGAAAGTTCCTAAATTCAATATAATAATGTTTCGGGTTACAATTTCTTTTCTTTTAGATTTATGACTGATTTTAAATTGGTTCCGTGTTAAAATATGAAGGTCATATTTTCTGAAAATACCTATATATGTCAAAAAATATCTAGCAAAAATATGTGTAAAAAAATCTTTCTTAGTCCAAAATATGCAAATTTGCATGCTCTCATAGTGCTAAAATAAGTGTAAACATTTTTAAAAAATGCACTTAAAATTTATTTAGGCCAAAATAAGCAAATTTGTAAGTTTTCATAAGTGTTAATATTTAAAGAAAACACTTAAAATTTAGTCCAAACTATACAAATTCGGAAGTTTTCATGGTGCTAACATAGGTATAAATATTTAAATAAAACACTTAAAATTTAGTCTAAAATGGACAAATTTGTAAGCTTTCATGGTGCAAACATTAGCGTAAATATTTAAAGAAAACATTTAAAACTTATTTAATCCAAAATATGCAAATTCCAAAACATAAACTAACATGAGAGTGAACTTTGTACAATTTGTTTTCTTTTGAAACTTTTTTCAATGCGGGATTTAAAACTGGTTTCATACAAAAATGTGATTTTCTTATTCTTTGAAAATACGTATTAGTGTTGAGAATGTCACGATCTCCCCCTAGCGGACAAATACGAAAGCATTCACTTGCGATTTTTTTCTCCTCCAGTGCAGCTTAGAATTTGTTAAGAACAACCTACAACTCATCTGTAAATAGCTTTCCCTTTTTTTTTTTATCATGATTAATTATTAAATATAATTCTTAAACGTCTTTGTGAGAAGTATTTTTCAGCTTAAGTGTAATTTAGTTATCTACAACCAAAGAACCGGAAGAGAATAAATACTGGGTGAAGACAGCTTGAAACTGAAACAAGGTAAGATTCCTTGGTAATATAATTTAAATCTTCAGAAGTCTTTGTTTAGTATCGTTATAATTAAGTAGTGTAGAAATATTTATGGAAAGTATAAAAAAAAAATAGAAAAAAAATCCTTATAAGTTTGGAATAAATCTATAGGAATTCTTCAATATTTTTAATTTATTTGTTATATTTCGCTTAGTTGATTTAGTTATTAAGAATGTACCTGTATGTCAGGAAATACACAAAGAAATTGAGAAAAATCATTTTATCAAAACTTATATCACGCTAATATAACATATATTTCATTAATTTTCACTAGGCGGAATTCATTTTAAAATATTGCTACATAGAAACACTGCAGTTATATTTTCAGAAACTTCCAATGTTATCTGTAATTATTGATAGTGAGGGGAAAGTAGATATCGACAATATCAACCTTCGTCTATGAAAAGATACCCCATCATAGAGTCGAGTTAGCATGTCTTATATGATAGTGAATTGTAGTTGTAATTATGTAGTGGTAGACACACTACGGTACTCCCCAACCAGAATTATAACTGTGATAGAATTCGATGAATGGATACCACTAGTTTTTTCAATGCTGTTTTGTGAGGAGCCGGGAGAGCTGCATTAAAATTACAGTACTTATGAGTACTGATCGTGAGAGCTGTATTAAGTTCACGGTCGTGGTCGCTCCTGTGTTGCCTTTAGTTAGCAGTCGAGTGAATTCATTATACGTTGTGTGTGATCGAGACTGAGTAGCAAAAGCGCGAGTAGGTGGATAATGTCGCAGTCACATGTAGCAAGTCAACTGTTCAATATAGACCATCCATCGAGGTAGGCAAGTTCAGATCAAAGTGGGCGTTACTGTCAAAATAGGCGTGTTCATATCGAACTGGGAGTTCTGTCACATCACGTCCGGAGGTCACCAATGTCAGGGGCCCTATTACCAACTCATCGAAACTTATTCCGCTCGGAAACGATTCCAATCGGAAACTAGCTTTCGTCGGATTGCCAATTTCGTAAAACCCACTTTGCCGTAACATGAGCATATCGGAATCCGGAATCGAAATCGTCATTCCACACGATTCCGGTGAAATTGAAGTTTGTAGGCGGGGCTAACTTTGACCAATTAGAAAATTATTATAATTCTAATTTATTAATCTGGCAACGATATGTTTGTATTCTCTACTTCTATGCGAGTTAAAATCGCATTAACTTAGAACTGAAAGCTTAAAAATTCATACATTTTCAACAATTTTGTGTTCTAAAAGCCAAGTTTGTGTTTATTTGAAGTATAGAGAGTAGTGTAGAGTGAAATTACAACGTAGTATTTTCAAATGGCTTCACGTACAAAAATTAATATTCGCCTCCAAACAATGATTGTGGAATACCTAGAAAACAATCCAGATTAAAATAAAGGAAGCCTTACCGGCATATCTGGCGTAATTACCACTATAAATATTAAATACCAAATCACTACTATATAAAACATGTTAACTTGCATCCATCTTAAAGTACCATAAGATAGTTGAAGGATAAC